ACACCCTGATGCAAAGCCTTGCTTGCCCAGGGCCTAGGTTTCAGGGGGAGCTCACAAACATTCTTGTGGACACAGCAGAGAAACAAAGGAGGCCGTGAGCTGCCAGGCTTGCCTGAATCTGAGGACCCCAGTCCAGAGCTGGCCCGGTGGGGACGGCACCACAGATGGTTGGAAGATGCCACCCACCCACCTGGCACCAGGGGCTCCGGGTCAGGCCAGGGGACCTGCGATTCATTTGCAATTCCCCCTCTGTCCATGTGGGGGCAGACCTGGCCCAGGAGGCAGCGGCTGGGGAACTGGAAGGAGGTAGCCTCCCACCTGGCGGGTGGCAGGCAGGTGAGCCGGGTGAGGTGGCTTTCCCAGTTTGCAGACAAGAAAAAGAAAAGGAACCCCTCAGAGGCCAGCCCAAGGCCCTCCCACAAGCATGTGACACCCCCCTTGCACCCAGCCCCCTTCCCATGTAAGGTAAGACATTGGGGGAGTGGGAGGTTAAGTGGGCCCAGTGGCTCTGGACCCCCGCAGCCAGATCTCTGGCCCTGGGTGGACAACAAGCCTGGGGAGGGCCCCGCCCCCATGTGGTGATCCTGGCTCCTGGGGGTGTCCCGAGTCACCAGGTCACCCTGCCCAACAGCCGGCTTTCCCCCTGGCTCCGCAATGTCTCCCCCAGTCCCACTGATGGAGCAAAGTGCAGGCCACTTGGGTTTGAACTGACTTTATTATTCTGTAAATGTGAATTTTACAAAGCGCTTTACAATTAACGATCACATCCTTCTGTTTGCAACGACTTCCACCTCCTGCACCGGGCTCGGCGCACCACGGAAGCCCTGGGTTTCCTGGCCGCCGGGGGGCGTCTCTGTTTTAGGTTGAGTGACTGGTGCAGCGTCAGCCGTGGCTCAAATGCAGCAAGAGCGGGAGGAGCAGCGGACGCACCTGCTGGGGCTGGAACGAGCCCACTCGCTCGCTCGGGGGGGCTGGGGGTGGGTCCTAGGAAAACAAACCTGCTCCACGGCACAAGGAACAGTGATTTCATTTATTTATTGTTTAACAGTCGTGAGTTACAGTAGGACTTCACCCCTCACCAGACTGGACATCAACCGTCTCTTTGTAAAAAGGCTCTTTTTCCCAAACATTCCGTCCAAAGGATGAATGGTCTGTTTGCACCCAGTGCCATCCAAATGTTCAAGTCAAAAATATTTATACATTTTATACTTAGTTCTTTTTTTTGTCTGCTAAAAATAGTATTGCAAGTTTTGGCTTCTTTTGACATAAAAATTACAATCATGTGCAAAACGCTAACAATGAAGGGGTTGATCAGAATTCAAGCAGGTTGTCCAATCTGAATGCTTTAGATTCTGCATAATTTTCCTTTTCGTTTTTTTTTTTTCGAAAGAAACAAAACAAAACAAACAAACAAAACCCAAAACCTTTGCCACATTAGAAACATCTTGTACCAAGCCCTAACGATCTCCGGCCGGTGGTGGGCGACACGCGCTCGGAGCTGCCTGGCTGACATAATGACAAATTTATGCATCAGCAACATTCTGAAACAGTAGTTAAAGCTCAAGACAGCTATGAACTCTCCATTCTGTGTTTAGGATTTACTGCTGGCAGAGGCAAACAGAGGTTTTTCTCGCAGTTTTTGGTTGGTTAATGGGCCATCAGCCTCCTTCCACCGGCATCAAGATATTTCCATAAATATAACCCATCTGAGGGGAATCTAAGCAGTAAGTGGCTGGGGGTGGCACTGGGCCGGCACTAGAACATTCCGCCGTTAAGGGGGAGCAGGTCAGGGCCGGGCACCCCAGAGTCGCCGCCCCCGCCCCTCCCCTCCCCCTCTGCGTCCCTCCCAGCTCCAAACACAACCGCCCCAGAACAAGCTTCCCCAGAGGAGACAGCAGCCAGTCTGCTCCCCGGACGGTCTCTCCCCCCGGCCGCTCATCCACGGCCACAGCCACATTCAGGGGGCAAGGCAAGACTATCGAATCCAACGCAAAGTTAAGCAACCACAGAGAACGCTGGGTGAGAGCAGACACAGTGCAGAACACAAGACAGAATTCAAGTACCGAGGCGCACCAGCCGGGTGGCCCCGCCAGCTCACAGTATCCGTCACCCCCCATCCCTGCTTCTGGACCTTTTGCACTCCGTCCCAGCTGCCTCCTTCAGCACAGCCCATCCGCCGGGGAGGGCGGGTGAGGATGGGGGCCCGGCCGGCTGCCCGCCACGTCCACTCCGACGGGGTCCAGTCCCTTCTCTCCTCCTCAAAACGGCGCGGGTCTAACTTAGCTCTATAATAGACTACATAGTGTATGCGTATTGCTAATAGTCAAGCTCGGGAATAAAAGTGCAGACATGTCATAAATACTGAGTGGCTTGTCTCTCGGTCTACAGGGTCTGGGTGAGTCAGGATCACGCTCACAGGACAGGAATTAGTCGTCTTGTAAACAGAGGAGGGGGAGGGTCCGGTTTTCTTAATTGGTTTTCCTTGGGAAAAATGATCAGAAGATGCTAAGGCACTCTGGAAGGCCCCTCCGAGCCCAGGCCCGCCGCTGCCCGCCCCGCGGAACATTCAGGACGCGGAGGGAGCGCCCCGGCAGATACAATCATCAGCCATGCCCGTCTGCAAACGCTCCGGACCCACGTCCACCGCGGGACACATTAGTGCAAAACGCTCGGCCTGGCCCGCCCGGGGCACAGGGAGAGCTCAGAACCCATTCACATTGAAGTATTAAAGTTTCACGTTTAGCTCTTGCCTTCCTTACCCAGAACAACAAAACAGACGGCGGTTATAAACAATTAAGGGACAGAAGTCACGGGACATTGTGCTGGCCCGAGCAGCAGTCAGGCCTTCTCTGTGTGGGTGCCACCGCCGCCGGGCCAAGGGCACCCCTTCATGTCCTGGCCTCAGGTCGGGGGCCGCTCCCACTCTGGAGTGGAGGAGAAAGAGAGGGGGAGAGGGAGAGCAAGCGCGCAAGCCCTTCTGCTGACGGCCAGGAGAGGCCAGCCGTCTCCCCGGGGTCCTCAGGGATGGTCAAATTAAAGTGCACGTTGGGGTCAGGGAGGGAAGCTGCAGAGGGGGATGGGGGTCAACCCTCCCCATCCTCACCTCCAGCCCCCAGTGGCTGCCTGAGGATGCTGGGGGTTGGCCTCTCAGTTCCAAGAGGGTTAGGTCCTGAGTGGCCTGGGGCCCCAGGCTCATGCAGCTCCAAGCCCACCTGGGCCCAGGTCAGGGGAGAAAGAGGCAGGGAGAGAGAGGCTCACCCCTAGGCCAGGTGGTTGGTTCGGAGCCCTAGCAGGAGTGCAGTCTCTTCAGGCCCAGACGCCCCTGCCCTCGGGCACAGGGGCTGAGATGAGCTCCCCATGAGCCTGCCCAAGGTCTCCCCACCCCTTCCTGGGAGCCATCAGATCTTTCTGGAGGGCAGGCACATGTTTGGCCCGGCTGGAGGAGGCCTGGAGGCTCCACGCCCAGCCCAGGTCTCCCCCAAAGCCTCTCCACACAGGGTAGCAGTCAGGAGGAACCTGAGCGGAAAGACGCCTAAACACCCCCAAGGTTGCCTGCGGCCGGGGCAGGCTCAGCTTCGTGGGTCACAGGGAGGCTGAGCCACAGCCGCTCGGCCCTGTGCACACAGGGGTGTGGTGGGCTTGCTCTGCACCTGGTCAGGGGAGGCAGAGTGCTGAGGAGGGGGACCGATAGACCCCTTCACATCCGGGAATGGAGCGGTGTCTGGTCTCCCCGGGACCAGACTGCCTGGGGCTCAGGATGAAGGAAGCCCCCGGGCCAGTGGCCACATGTGCACAGAACCCGTGCCCTCGCTCACCAAACAACAGCAACTGAACTTCAACGTGAGCCTTCCAGCCTCAAACAAGCCAACAATTTCTAGGGCCCCTCCTCACTGCACCCTGCCACACGCATTCCAGAACTTCCACCCTGAACCTCCACCCTGCTGCTCCCGGGCTCCTCCTGCAAACTGCCCAGCAGCCTGGCCCATGCCCACCGCCCACCCACCCGGCCCCAAGGTTTGCAGCACAATACGGGGGACCCGCCCCAGCCCAGCCTGGCCAAGTCGGGCCCCCAGCCCCCCCTTTGCCACACACCCTGGCTGTGTCTCCCTGGGACCCCCCCCCACCCGGTTCCCAACAGGAGGCGCGTGGGACCTGGGCCAGGGCTGGGCGGGACGTGGTGCACAGATGACCCAGCCCAAAGCATCGCGGGTTGAGGGCAGGGACACCAAATCCTCCCTAATTTTTTGCTTTTTTGGGTCTGAAAGTTTTCAAACCATACATGAAATAGATCTGAATTAAGACAAAAACAAATAAACAAATGTAATCCCAACATGGCTGAGGGCGGTGGGGCTGCACCACAGGACGGCGGGCGGCCAGGTGGAGCCGGCGGGCACTGGGGGCCGTGGAGCTGAGGGGGCCGGGAGGGCCCACGGGCGTGGGGCGGGAGGACGGAGGGGCACGCGCCTCTCCCTCCCCCCTGTGGTGCCCACACCGCTGCTCCCGCACACGCTCACACACATGCGCATACTCACACACACGTTCCCACACCCCACGCACGCGGGCGACCCGGCAGGCCTGAGCCCCGAGTCTCAGGAAGAAGGGAAAACAAAGAGGAGTTTGGCCCCTGGCCCCAGAGGGGCGGGCGGGGTCCCCCCGATGAGCAGCGAGTGTTGGGACGCGTGCCCCACGCACCGGGGGCCGCAGGCTCTCGCCCCTCCCAGAGCGGGGTCAGGGGCCCACAGCCCGGAGACGAACCTCGCAGATATCAAAAGGAGCCCTGGGACCGTCTGCACAACTAGGTCACCAGCGGACTAATCCTTTACAGTATAACGAATGCATTTGTTTCCTTCATAAACTTTAAATACAAGCAGAATAAAAATCACATTTTTGTCAGGCAACAGTAGCAGTCCCGTAGGTAAGTGGCTTGATCACATTTGTTTGTATTAGTAATGCATGCAAGCAGCTTTAGTACCGGTCCCGCGAGGCTCCCGGCGGCTCCTCTACAAGGTCCCCGCGTAGGACGCCTCCTGTCTCCGGGGCGCCGCGGGCGTCTGCGGCCGGCTGGAGCTGGCGCTGCCCTGCTCGAAGGGCGCCGGGGGGCTCTGCGCGGCAGCGGGTGGCGGCGGTTCGGGCGCGGCCACCTCCTGGATGACCGAGCCGGCCCCGTCCGCCTCCTCGCCCGCATCGAAGCTGGGGTTGGCGGCAGCGCTCAGGTCGACGTTCACGGCGTCAGTCCTCAGAGCCACGATGGTGGCGGCGTCGCCCCGCCGCTCGGCGTAGATGCGCTGCTCGAACACCTGCGCCGCGGCGGGCGGGAAGTCAGGGTCGAGGGGCACGCCGGCGGCCGAGGAGCCCATGACTGTGCGGTACATCTCCACACCCTCGGGCAGCATGGACTTGATCTTGGGCAGCCAGCGCTTGCGGACGCGGCGCGCGTTGGTGCACATGTCCGCCGCGATGACGTTCATCTCGCTCTCCTTGAAGCTGGGGGCAAAGTTCTGACAGTACACTGCAAGCAGAGGGCGCGGGGGGGCGGGCGTCAGCGACCCAGGGGCCGGGGCCGGGGCCTCCACACTGCCCTCCACCCTGCTGCCCACCGGCACGGCAGGCCGTGTGGCCACCCAGGTCCTTGCTGGCCTCAGCTTGCAGACCAGTGGCCGTCCCGGGGGCCCTGCCCTGTTCCCTCGGGACAGCCTCTGGCGGGAACGTCCAGGGGAGGAGGGACAGGCAGCGTCAGGGCACAGGGCTGTGGGCCTCCCCGCACACTGGCAGGTCCCTGGCATCTCTGGGCCTCACTTTCTCTGTCCCACCCACCTTGGGTGCCAGGGCCTGCGGAGACAAGCCTGCTCGAGGACGCTGCTCTGACCAGAAGGGCCGTCAGGCAGCCCCGGGCACCTGCCCACTCTGAGGCTCGGGCCTCTCCGGGGCCCTCATCAGAGGCTCTTCCTCACAGGCTGGATGAGGAGCGCGGCGGGAGCCAGTCCACACCTGTCCTGGGCCCAGCACCCAGCCAGGAGGAAGCAGCAGCAGGGCCCTATCAGCACCCCAGCATCACGAACAGCGCCCCTCCTTCCCCTCCACCGGGAGCCACAGGACCCAGCTCTGCAAGCAGCCTGGGGGTCGGACACAGGTCCCCGGGGCGAGCCCCTCACACCAGCATCGCCGCACACCCCCCGCCTCTTCCCGGCGCCCAGCCGGCACACCAGCTTTGGGACCGTAATTACCGACCACAAAGGCCCCTCTTTGCTCTAAGACAGAATTAGTCTCACAAGACATGTTTTCCAAGCAAGGAAGGAAGACGGTGTTTTGTGTGCCGACCGCCGTGGGAGGGCCACCTGGGGTGGCCTGAGCCGGACGGCGGGCCCCTCCCCCTCCTGGGGCGGTGGGGGGACGGGGGGCAGCCGTGGGCTGCGGAGATGGACTGGGCTCCGCCCCCACGCACCCGGGAGCGGGAGGCAGAAGTCGGCGAGCAGATGGCAAAGGCTCAAAATAACCTCGAAATGTAAATAAGGGGTTTTGTTCAAAAAGGAAAATTAGATCTATTTCACATATTAAAATAGTTTCGCACGCAGCTGAATCCATCATGCTTGGAAACCTACCAAGAACGTTAACACCTCGAGACCTGGCTCCTGAGAGCTGCTCTTTTCTCTCTCCCTCCCCAGCCCTGCAGGGCCGCCGTGGCGCCGTGGAGAGGCCACCGTCCCCAGCCCCGGGGGACCCGGGCAGCCCCTCCAGCCCACCCAGGGGACCCTGGAGAACTCACGTTTCACAGCGTTCAGAACCCGGCTGTCCAGAGGCTTGCGGCTTGGGTCGCTGGTGGAGGAACGGATGCCAGTGCCACAGCTGTTGGCCAGAGTGTTCCTGGGGTGGGGGACGGGGGGGGGGGGGCAGTGAGGCCACTGGCCAGAGGCGCTGCAGGAATGGGATCTGCCCACCAGCCGCCCCCTGGCACTGCTGTTCATTTCCAGGGGTCAGTACCACCCTCCAGAGACAGGAGGGAAGCAAAGCCCCTTGGGGATGGGGCTCCTCCGGCCCATCATGAATCAATGTGGCTCTCTGTTTTACAGGGGCCGGGGGGAGGGGGGTGTCCAGGAGAGCCAGGCCCTGTCTGGGTGGGCGTGCCCCCCACACAGCCTCACAGTCCTCGGGCTGACACCGTGGCGGGACGTCAGGAAGGTGGGGGGCCATGAAGGCGAGGCCACCGTGAGCTCGTTGCCAGAGGAGACCCTAGAAACTTCCGCACCGGCCCAGGGACCCACCTGTCAAAGAACGTGGCGAGCAGCCGCCGCAGCAGGACCTTGTGCTTCACCCCTGCACAGAGGTGGCAGTTCATCAGCTGACCGCGCGTGATGTAGACCCCGGAGCCTGTGACCACCAGACAGGAGAGGTTGTGACCCACAACCCAGGGCCATGACCTTCCCAGGGGCCGCTGGCGCCAGAACAGGCGCACTGCGGGCCCGGGGGTGCTGGGCAGCGCAGGGAGCAGCCCAAGGCCGCCCTGACTGCTGAGTGCAGCACTCGCCCCCGGGCCTGGGACCCCATAGGCTGGGGACCATCGCTCCAGGCTCTCCTCGCTGTGCTGAGGCCCTGTCACCTGGAGGAGGCGGCCTGGGTCACATGCCTCAGAGCACTGTCCCCAAATCACCCTTCCAGCCTCAAGGGAATCCCCTGCTCGGCCCTTGGTTTGGGAAACACTTCTCACCTCTCCATCCTTTCCCCAAAACCAAAGCGCCTCAGGCAGTGCCGGGGAGCTGGGATTAGGGAGGTCACCCGGCCCAGTGTGTGCGGGGGGAGGGCACTGCCAGCCACAGGGCAGAGGTGTGGTCAGCGAGCCCACGCAGTGCTGTTCACCCCGAAGAAGACTGGCAAGGCTCAGGTGCCCAGCAGGGCCCGGGAGCACCAAGGCCGGAGCCCGCTGAGAACGTGGGGCGGCCTCTGCTGGACCAGACGGTGCTCACGGGAAAAGGAACGGATGCATGTGTGGGACAGTGCCCCCGACTCTGGACGAGAAGACACCAAAGGGCACACACATGCGGGGTCCTCGGGACTCCCACCGTCCCCTTTAGGCCTTCCCCTAGGACCCCCGTGTCACAGATCCCATACTGGATCTTGTTGGGAAAAAAGACAAGGAGGGAGCAGGGTGGAAGGAAGGTACGCGGAGGTGCTCTGGCCCGGGGGGGCCTGGCTCGGCGGCCTCGGGGCTCTGGACGGAGACCAGCACTGGGGCGTCAGGTCAGTGTTGTCTGACCATGCTCGGCCACAGCATGCCAAGTGTCCCTGAGGGCCCCCGTCCGCCCATCTCCCGTCTGCAGAGGCTCCAAGCCAACAGCAGAGCAGGTCACCGTGAGCCATACGGGCTGGACATGCCCTTGTTGTAGGGACTCTGTAACGGGGGCTAGGGCACCGTGGGGCCTGGCCACCTGACGCCCAGCTGTGGGTCGGGCCAGGGAAGGTGGTCAGCCCTCGCCCCTCCCAACCCCAAACCCTGACAGACAGGTGTGCCCCACCCCTCCCAGGCCCGGCTGCTCTCCGGTTAGCTGCAGGGCCAAGCCACCCCTCTCTGCCCTGCTCTGCCGCCGCCCTCTGCGACCTCCCAGCAGAGGGGACGGTTGGGCAGAACCCCACAGTACTGTCCCGGGTGCAGCGGTCAGGAGTACCAAACAGGCCTGGGGGGACCCAGAGGCTCAGAGCGGGTGCGTGCCAGCACTGAGGAGGGACGGTGCCCGTGGGTCCTGGCCAGCCCGTTTGGGCCCCCCCGCCATGGCCACGGGAGGACACTCCTGGAAAGTGGCCCCAGCGCGGGTAACAGCAGCCGCATCATCCCCGTGAAGAGCCTTAAAGGTCTGCCAGGAGCTGTGAGGCCAAGCGGAGCCCCACGCTGGGAAGAGGAGTCTTTCTGACAAAGGCACGCGGCCCTAACGGGTGCCATTTGTCTTCACAGAACTCCGTTTCCAACTCCGAGCTGCATTTGGAACCTCGGGTGGTTACCCGTCAACGCTGCCGGGGGGGCACTGTGGGGGCTGGGGGAGGGGGACCAGCACGCTGTATTCGATGTGGTTTTCTCTGCCACCTAAATTAAAACACAATCGTGATTGCAGCCCCTGCCAATCAGATGCGCGGCCAGCCCAGGGGATTCAATTAAAATGCTAAATTAATTCAATTGAATAACTCCTCTTAATGACACATTCTTCTAAAAGGAAATTAGAGGAAATTTAAGATGTTCTATCTTTTTTTTTTTTTTGACTGATTGGTGATGAGTACATTGTTCACTGCTCCGAAGGAAAAAAAAATGAGGGCATTTGCATACAAGCGATGGGTGGGGAGGGCCCTTCACCTGCTACCAGCTCCAGCTTCTCGCCGGGGTCCCCTTCTGAGTAGAGCTTGGGGTGACAGCGGTACCCGATCTGGCTGATGAGGCTGGCGGGCAGGGCCACGAGGTCGCGGCGGATGAGTACACAGGAGCGGCTCTCCAGTGGCACAGGCTCCGGCTTCTCTTGCACTGCGGACACACACCCGATCTGGTCAGGGGCGTTCTCAGGCCGGGCCAGGGCAGGGATGGAGACAGAGAATGCCCTCCCTGCCCACCCAGGCCCGGGTCAGACACGCTCCATGCCCACTCTCCACGGTGGGCTGGACTGCTCTGTACCTGCCCTCCGTTCTCTCTCCTGGCCCACCTGGTCCTGACCCGGGCAAAGAGGACCAGAGGGAGTAAGCAAATGGAGGAAGGCAGGGGAGGGATGCCACCCAGACCTGGAAACTAGCTGTGAGGGCCCAGGAGGCTCCCAGGAGGAGGTGTGCACCGGACAGAGGCCTACAGACGAGGCAGGAACAAGAGCGGCCTGTGCGAGGGGGGCTGGGCCCGTGGTCTGACCAGGTGGAGCGGCCCCTCTCCGGACGGAGTGCAGGCTGGGAGCGGAACTCGCCATGTGTGTGCGCCCAGCCTGAGGGCTCACAGCAGCCCCCCTCCACAGGTGGGGCGCCTCCCCAGAGGGTGCACCACAGCGCCTGGACGAGACCACTGCATGAACACCTGCCCGCAGCAGAGCCCGGCCCCCCGCCACACCTGCAGCTCCCGGGGGGGGGCAGGGGCGAGGCCCCGTCTGATGGCCCTGTGCCACACGGGAACATGAGAGCAGCAGGCTGTGGACATGGAGGTGGCTGCCGCCCCCTCTCCCCTCCCTGCCCTGAGGACCCCACCCTCTGACCTGCCCTCCAGGCCTGGCCTGGCCACGGGAACCTGCCTGCCATCAGGCTCAGGCTGGGCCAGGGGTCCTGTGCCCTCCGCACTGTGACCCACTGCCCCCTTAAGGGTCACAGGAAGATTCAGCTCCTGTGGGCACTGAGGTGGGAGGGGCCAGGCTGGGCTGGGACAAGGACCTGGGGAAGCCATATGGAGGCTGCCGCGAAAGGGCTGCGGGAGGGAGGATGGCAGGAAGGGTCCTAGGCAGACCCTCCACACCCCCAGGCCTCCAGAACCTGGAGCAGCCTCAAGCTCCCGGAGGGGAGTGGTGGGGGCCGCCCAGCCCCTGGGGGGCCGGCATCCTGGACACCACGGGCGGGCCTCTCTGGAGAAGGCAGGCGGCTGGGCTCAGTGCTGAGGGGGGCCTGCAGCTCCAGGCAGCCTGCCCCAGACCAGGACACAGGGCTGCTCTGGGGGTCGGGTGACACCCCCACCAGGTGTGTGCGGGGCACGCGGGCGGGGGCGGATCAGCGGAGAGCAACAGAGAATCTTCCAAACCTGGAATACCCGGGGGCTCAGGGAGCACAGCAAAAACAACCCGGATGGTATTTTAAAACGTAATTACCCGCCCCCGCCCCCCCACGGCCGGCTGTGATTACACACGCAGACGCACGCCAGCGCGTGGCATTTACATAAAGAGCGCTCACCAGCCGAAGTCACGCCATCCACAACGCGTCCTGCCGTGTTTCTCTCAACAGCAGAAGTTGTTTGCGGTCTGCGCGCCTGCCCCCCAGCCCCCCAGCCCGGCTCCCAAGAGCCAGAGACCGGCAGATCCAGAACATCCAAAAGAGCCTCTTCTATTTCTGCTCTGCCAAGCGCCGGATACTGCGCAAGCTAAAAATACCCGAACCCGAGTGGTGGCTCATCTGGAAAGGTGCTCCGAATCCCTTCCCCGCCCCTTCCCCGGGGCCCCAAATCTCCTGCTGCCACCGCTGCAGCCCACAACTGAGCATCAAGGGCTCCTCCTTCCAGGGAGCAGAGGGGATAGCTTACAACCAGGTTCTGGAGACCTGGGAGAGTGTGCGGGGGGTACGGGGGCCAGGGGGCATGACCCCCCGCCCCGTGCATCCCTGTGGCTTTGGGGCGGGCGTTTGGGCGCCTGGCTGCAGGCGTGCTGGGAGGCCCCTTGGTGGGCTGTGGGCAGGGACATGGCAGGCCGCCCCGCGGATCGCACTGAGGCACCACTGCTCCCTTCCCCATCAACGGCCCCATTTTTAACCGGCTTCCAGGACTGTGGGCTCCAAATATTTTGGCGCCGTGGAATTTGGAGAGAAGCACATGAAAGAGCAATGAGCTATTTGTACCAACAGGTGAGTAATCACTCAGTGCAGGAAAGGTGAGTCACGGTCGAAAGGGCCTCTGTGGAATGATCTGGAACAGCAGCTGATCTGGGCCAAAAGGGAAGCAGCAACCAAGGACAGGCAGGGACCCTCAGATCATGCACAAAGAGAGCTATAACCAGACGCAAGGAGGGACCCTGCAGGGAAGTCTGGGCACCAAGAAGGGACCCAAGTGCTCCCTGACTCGGTGACGCGGCGGGAGGCCAGCCAAGGAAGGACGGGGCCTTCGGAACATCATGATGAGAGAGGTGAGCCCAGCACAGAGGACAGATCCCGTCAGATGCCACTGGTCTGTCCGCAGGGACGGACAGCGGGAGCGGAGGTCCGTGTGTAACGGGACAGAGGCGGGTCAGGAAGATGGAGAGTCCTGGAGGCAGATGGGGGCACGACAGGACAGCAGTGCGAGCATGCCTGACGCCCCTGGACGGCGCCCCCAAAACCAGCTATGGTGGGAAATCCTAGTTGTGTATCTTCCGGTGCAACAGAACCATTCTCTTGAAAGAGACGAATGGCATCCGTGGGAGACACTGGCCCTCACCCAACGCCACGGGGTCCTCATCTTCTAGTCTACACAGTGATGTCTGCCGACTCAATCTCGATACAACTGGGGGGGGGGAGGACCAACGGAGGGCAGAGCGGGCGAGGCAGGTCTGGAGGGACCCCAGGAGGGTCACTGGCCTCCACTCCTGTACTTTTTCAACCTCCTGTGGCTCACTGAGGAGCTAGAAAAAGCGCTGGGCCCTCTCCCCAAGCAAAACATAACAAGCCCCCAGCCACAGGATGCTGGCATGTCACAGGGCCCCAGGAGTAGACTCTGTTCCTGTCCCCAGATGCACTCAGAGGCGGCACAGGCAGCCCCCACCCTCGGTAGGGAGCCCCCACCAGTGCGAGTGGCCGCCAGCAGGTGACGGAGCTCCACTGAGGTTGGGCGGGGACGTGGGGGGGGCAGAGAAGGGTACTCCCACCCTACAAGAGTATACACTGTTTGTTAAAATGGCAGATTAAGGAAAGGAGCCCCTTGTCTGTGATTATGTAGGAAAATACAACTTACAACCAAATGGAAAGAAAAATGCTAAATCACACCGTCCACTTCTGACTTACTATAGAATGACCGTAACCAAGCCCGCAAGGTTTGTGCGGGCAAGCAGAGGGACACCCTGTCCACAGCCCAGAGACAGACCCACACACACACACTCAGCTGCTTTGTGACAAAGGGTCACTCACCACAGCGGGGGAAGGGACAGCTGTTCCAACACGTGGTGCCCAGAAAGGGGTTGTGCGTGGGCAAATCGCAAAAGCAAAACCACAAAACCACCCTCGATCTAAACCTCACACCTTACCCAAAAATGAGTAGAAATGGATCACGGACCTAACATAAGACACACAAAGCATAAAACTTTTGGAAGAAAATCTCTGTGATCTTGGGTTCAGCTAAAAGCTTAGACACGACCCCAAGAGCATCACCCATGAAAGACTCGACGGGTTAACCGACTTCATGAAAACAAAAACCTCCGGTCTGTGAATGACGGACAGAGGGCCCGCCCCGGACCGGAGGGAGTGGTCCGCAGACCACACATCTGACCCAGGACTTGCCCTGGAAATCTAGCGTGAACTCTCAAAACTCAACAGCAAGAAAATGGACAACTCAGTTTTTAAAATGAGCAAAAGATCTGAACAGACACTTGGCCAGAGAATATACAGATGGCAAATTAGCACATGAAAAGACACTCCACATCATCAGCCATTAGAAAACAGCACATAAAACCGCACAGAGACCCCCACCTCACACCTACAGAGCGGCTGAGCTCGCAGACCCCGGGCACGCTGGGCGGCGCAGGGTGCGGAACAGCTGGGTGCGGGACCCCGGCTGGCGGGTGCGCACGCTGGCTGAGCGGCTTCCCAGGGAGCCAGCGGTCCAATCCAAAGTACTCACCCGGGAGCAAGGAGACACGGAGCCAGTCCACACAGGCCCCGAGCAAGGACGCTCACACCTGCTCTGCTCACACCTGCCCCAGCCTGGAGACAGCCCAATGCCCCGCGGCAGCGGGCGGATATACCGCCGAGCGCCTGCAGGGCAGGTCATCCAGAAGGACTGCTGCAGCTGCTGCAGCGCGCAGGTGAGTCTCAGACCCGCCGTGGGACGGAAGGGGCCAATTTCACAGGGTTATGCACTGGGTGACCCCTTTGTAGGACAGGGTCCCAAAGACAGAACTCTGGGGACAGAGAACAGATCAGTGACTGCCAGGGGACAGCGCGGGGGTGGGTGACTATCGGGAGCAGCGTGGTGGCGTGACCGAGCTACTCTGTATGGCGAACCCTTGCCATACCACCCCTGTGCCCGGGATGCCCGCCCGCCCTGCCCTGTCCCTTCCTGCTCAGCCCCAGGCGGCCTCCCCTCACAAAGGTCTCACCCTGCTCTGCATCTGCCAGCTCAGCGCCAACCAGACCAGCAGCTCTGAAAGGGCCACGCCCGTGAAGGGCATCCGTGCCTCTGAACACAGCTGGGTCAGCGTCCCGGGAACAGGGCAGGTGGCAGTTCCTAAAGGCGCACTTGGGCCCGGGGGGGGCGGGTGCAGAGCATCAGGGGGCCGGGTGTCATCACCGAGGGCTGTTCTTCTTCTGTGGGGAGACACACAAGTGCCACCAGGGTAACCACGTCCCCCACGGACGGCAAGATGCATCCCATCTCATGGGACGCTCAAGGGCAAGGACAGGGGCATCTCAGAACCAGTCAGATACAACACGTGGTGCCCAAAGTGACAAGTCTGGCAGGGAAAGCCCAGAAGAAATAAATACAAGTGGGAACAGACATGAGGCCTGGGAGTGGGGAGGACGTCCGTGTGCACACCGCTGCCCGGGGCCCCTGGGAGCCCAGACAGAAAGGGACGCGGTGGGCCTCTGGGTCCCCATGCCCTCCAC